TGTCCGTGACACCGATGTGTGTCAGGATCCGCAAGGCGGGATCTGTGATGTGGTTCTTTCATTCTATCTTAGAGAACTAAAGACTAGCAGCAAACCAGGGACTTAAACACCAAGACACACAGAGAGCTTGCACCCACCTGTCCTCCAGTATGTGTCAGGATCCGCAAGGTGGGATCTGTGATGTGGTTCTTTCATTCTATCTTAGAGAACTAAAGACTAGCAGCAAACCAGGGACTTAAACACCAAAACACACAGAGCTTGCACCCACCTGTCCTCCAGTATCCTTGGCTGGGATACCTTGCAAGTAGACCACCTAAAATAAAAAAAACAAGGGATAAAAGTTATAGCAGAAACTGAGACCCCAGCAAGAACAACTGCTTCTCTCCACCAACCGAGGCTCACCTTCGCAATGCTTCACCTTCTCTGCTGCTATCCGGCTTTACTTCCTAGAAATAAAGACAAAGAGCAGAGCTGTAACACAGTGACCGGTTCCAGCCCCGCTGCAAAGAAAAACCGTGACTGACCTTCTCAGGGGGACCCCCATCATCTGGGATAGCTGCTCTGCCACGACGTCAAACCGTCTGCATCTGAAAGAAAGTTAGGAAAAAAGTCAAAGTGCTGCAGGGTAACTTCACAGCTCCAAACACCTTCTGCCAACATAAGAATACCACCTAGACTCCAACTACAGCCCGTACTACAAGTCTCCGATTACAAGTGCCCGGGACTTGTCCTTGAACGCCTACAACCGGGCTGGGCGGCAGGGCAGAGCAGCTCCGGACCGAATACCCCCAGACACCCGTGACACGTGAGACGAGGGAGTGTCTCCCTGAGTGAAAACTCCCTGAGACAAGAAAGTCCTCACGAGGACCGAGAGAATGCTGAACGAGATGACCGAGGAGGGACCCGAGGCGAGCCTGCCGGGCTCGGATGACCCTGGAGGAAAAAGACGCTAACGGAACAACTATTTTCCAAGAACCGCAGAGACGGATGCCCGAGAATCCTGTGGCTGGAAGCCTCTGCCTGCCTTTGAATCGGCACAAGTCCTTATCCACTGTAAAGAGACATTGCTGCATATAGCTGTTGACACAGCTGAGAACGAGACCTAAAAAGATCACGTGCTTCTGAAGACAGATGCGATTCTGACATGTGTCCGACCTCCCGAATCGAAGCTTCGCCGGCGTCGGGCCGAGGAACGCAAAGATGGGAGATGAACGGAAGGACCCCAGGGTTTCTCATAAGCCCCTGGGAGGGCTAAGGCAAGAGACACATTACACGAGATGCACAGAAGGCACAGAAGACACAGAAGGCACGCGAGACAAGTGACAACACACCCTGGGACTGCTCTGCCCTGCCCGCCTCAGCATTGCGAACCAAAGTGAGGCTTTCCCTCACTGGGGCCTATGGGGTCATTTCCAGAACCTCCCCATCCCCAAAGCTCACTCAAAAACCCA